CTCCAGGAGTAGCTTCTGTTCCTTTTAATATAAGTGCCTGAATTCCCTGGTTCTCCAAGTCTAACTGGTGTGTTCCCTCATAGGGGGGGCAGAGTCTGCTCAGCTTGATGGTTCAGCATGGCAGCAGATGGATCTGAAGGATGCGCTGAGCCCACCTGGGGAACAGGCTCAGGCTTTCCTTCTGTCCTGCAGAGAAGCATTTCCATCCCTCTTGTGCTTATTTCTCAACTTCTGAAAAGCTCTGCTCTCTCTCAGTGGGCTGTACACCCAAGTGGGGCTGGGATGTGGAGGTAAGTTCTGATTAGAGCAGTTTCTCTCTTGCAACTGAGACATAATTTCCATTAATAAAAAAATTATATTAACATCTGAATGCCACCACTACTACTTTCACAAATAAAATTATTGTTATTTTTCATACAAATCCTCTCAGTTGAATATTGCAGTTTTGTTTGGAGGAGATAACATTTACAAAATTTCAAAAAAACTAATACTTTCTATTTTTGTCATATAGAAAAATATTTTAAAGTCACCTACTTCCAAATACTGTCTTAATGAAAATTAGCCATATTTGAATGTTGAACATGGTTTTTTCATACAAATCCTCTCAGTTGAATATTACAGTTTTGTTTGGAGGAGATAACATTTACAAAATTTCAAAAAAACTAATACTTTCTATTTTTGTCATATAGAAAAATATTTTAAAGTCACCTACTTCCAAATACTGTCTTAATGAAAATTAGCCATATTTGAATGTTGAACATGGTTTCTTAAATAATCAAATAATTTAATATATTTAAAAGATGCCATGAAAATTTTCTTCCATGTCCCTTAAACAAAATCTGTATCAACATGATTAATAGAATTTAAACCTTATTTTAATAATCTAATGTCGTATTTACTTTCAAGGATACAGAATTAATAACAGAAAATCAAATTGAATAGATGGTAAAGGGCAATGAATAAAAGTTTTGATTTATGTTTATTTTAATTTTTAGTGAAAGCAGCAGAGAATAACAGTGTGATGACCAAAGGGAAAATTAATTTTAAGAGTGGAGTTTGAAAAATGAAAACCTGAAGATCAAATTACTGGAATATATCATTTTACATGTGTGCACACACTCAAGAGCACACTCACGAGCACACACACAAGTGCATACACATCTACACACACACACACAAACTCCCCATACTGTCCCTTGGAAGCTGGCTTAACATTTTCAAGTCATCGTGGGAAAAAAAGTCTTCACTGTTATAACTAGAGAGGATGTACATGTGAAATTTTGTGACATTTACGATTTTCTGCAGGTCCACTTCAAACATGCTATAAAGAAGTATATGTTTATGATATGTGGTTTTAATTGAGAAGTTCTGCCAAAGCCTTTGGCAAAACATTCTTGAAATAAACAGTAATTAAAGTGAATTAAAAAGTCAAAAAGTACTTTGTGGTGTGACTGTGTATTTTAATTGGATTGTGTTAATAAGAGCCAACTATCTTCATTTACCCTAGACAGCTACTCTTTATTGTCTAATAAAGTGAGTATGTCCAGTAAATAACATATCATTTAATAAACATTGGTTTCATTGTTATAAAAACAAGCTGAAAGGTATGGAAGGAATTATGGGATTGAAAATCATGTGCCACATGTACTATAGAGGTCAGCAAATAGAGAGTTTCACATAAAAAGAAGTGGGAGACAGCATCATATGCTTCAGCTCTTGACTCAAAGCAATCTTACCTTTTATTACAATACAGGGTGAGATGTAAGGGGCTAAACTGAATACAGAGCAGGGTCAGCAGCTGTGTCAGATGAGAGCAAGGAATGCTGAGGATTAAGGATGCTCTTTCCTTGTTCTGCCCTAAAGCTGAAGAAACATGGCCCTGGTGTTATGTGGGACACACGGTGTCCTAGCCTGTTCATGCAGCAGTGAGCTGGCCATTTAATAAATTAAAAGTGGATGTGAGAATGGGGAGGGAATGGGGCGAAAGAGGCAGGGTTGGAGCAGCAGGGGACACAGAAGGAGAGAGAGCTACACATTTGTTTGGAAGAATGAGGGAGTGAGGAAGCGAAATACTGTAGAATGGAAAAAAATTGGTAGGAAAAGAGAAACTGTTTCATTTGGAACACAATATAAACAAAACATTTTCATTATCTCCACCAACCTCCACCACACACACCCAAGAGAGTGAGCAAGAATGGACACAGCATGTCCAGGAGGAACATTCATACCTGACATTCATAGAAACCAGGCATGGCAGTGCAGGTAAATTTCTGAGGAGTAAATAAATGACTTTGGAGAACAGTGAAAGGCAGTGTGGCTCCTGTGAAGTTTCCCAGGCAGCTTTTTAGGTAGCTTTTTGTACAGGAGAGCAGGCCCTTTAAGCTCTCACAAGTGAACATTGCAGGCTTCTCCAAGGAGGACACACAGCAGCTGTGCACTTGGCTTCCTGGGATCCCAGAGCCTGGAAACCAGGCAGTTTCTAAGGGCTGCAGGCTGCCCCTGTGCCCCTTCTTCCACTGAGACACATGGGAGAGCTCCTCAGCTCCTTAAAATAATCCCCCAGGATACCTCTCTCCATGTTCCCCATGGCAGGGACTGGAATCCATGTGCTTCTCAAGTTGTACCACCTTAAATAAAGGCTGTGCCCACATGACCTTTGAGTGTAGCAATTTCAGCTCAGTTTCAGTTGGGAGGGCTACTAAGACACACAACGCTGTGACTTGGGGGTCTCTCAATGGATTTAATTGAAGTCTATGGGCCTCCGTACTTCCCTAGGACATGGATTCTCCCCTGGATTTCAGTCAGCCTCAGTGAGCTCAGCTTCCCTTCCTGTTGGCACCTTGCCCCAGATGCCTGTGCAGGGATTCCCCCTTAGCAATGCAGGCCCACCTTCCATGGTGTCCTCTTGCATGTGGACAATGCCCTCAGGAGCTCCTGAAGAATCCTGGCTCAACTTCAGTGGCAGCTAACCCCAAAGGATACTCAGCATGGGCTTCTCCAGGTGTCGGATAAGATGGGGTTTATTTTCAGAGCCTTATTTTATAATGTTCTTCTTATATTCTAGTAAGAGGCCCACAAAGCCTCACTCATTGCTCATGATTTTCCTTTAATTTATTGCTCTCCAGATACCGAGCATCACACACTTCCCACTTGCCTGTTTCTACAACCCTCTTGTTGAATCCCAACATCTCTCATGGAGTTGGTGTTTAGTTATACTTTCTTCCCTTTCTTTGCCTGGTATCCTCCTGGGTTTTCTAATGAGCCTGGTGCAATTATGGAGTCACAGATCATCATCAAAGTACTTCAGCATCAGTTTACCAGTTTCCTACAAACCTGCAGGGATTTGAGTGGGATGGACCCAGGTCCATGTAGACCACATTTCCACAGTAATGCTGCACATGGAGCAATGAAGATGGCACATTTGTCCATCTTTAAGTCTTCAAGAAATTGTCTCAGCAATGATTTATAATTTCTGTATTTTTGATAAACTCATCACTAAACATTTCAAACTTTTTATCTAAATCTGTATTAATCTGTCCAGCTGCCAAAATGAAACACCACAGACCGGGCAGGTTGCAAAACAGAAACTCAATTACTCACAATTATCAAAGAAAATGATCAGGATCAGGGTGTGGGGAGGGTTAGTTAGGCCTTCACGTTTTCAGTCCTTGGCTGTGCTGGCCCCATCTTGCTGCCTCACACATGGTCATCTTCCAGTGTGTGTGTGTGTGTGTGTGTGTGTGTGTGTCTGTGTGAGCTTGGTCTCTACCTGCCTGTCCTTACTACCTGTCTTATGGGGCACCAGTAAGCCTGGCTGACAGCCATCACATCTTACCCGAGTCACCTCTTTGCCAGGACTGTCTTCAAATGCAGAGCCTTCATGTGATATGCCAGGGATGAGAACCTCAGCATTTGGATGAGTTTAACCCAGAAAATAATATGAATGACATTGTTCTGCTTTTTCTTTGCATTTATCTTTCATAACCATACTACAAACATATTGGATCATGTATCATTTTAAACTAACATGCTAGTTTTCATAGGTGTTTTTCAGACTTTGTAAACCTTTAAGACTTTTTAAGGCCAGAGAGGGAAGAGATCAGTGGAAAATGCTTGCCTACTGTGGATGGGCTTAAAGAAATGGATTAAAGAAATGAATGAGTGAATTTATTTTTATGCATATATATTTTTTCCTAAAAATGAACTTCTTCCTTTTTTATCTTATTTAAGTAATGAGAGATAAATAGAGGATAAGACAATAATTATATTTTTTATATCTATAGCATAAAGCATTCTGGTCTTCACCATCAAAGATGATGGTATCTCTAGGATTTTGATGAATTACTTGGCTAGTTTGCTTTGATTTTCTTCCTGCCATTTTTAATCATCCTTTTTTTGTTTTTAATTAGCAGAGATCTTATATAACAAAATGATTGCCATAAAGAAAAGATGTTGCAGTAAAAGAGAGAGGAAGCTTGCAATGGGAAGAATCACCTGACCAAAAGATCTGTAATCATCTATGCTCAGGAGAAAGAACCACTTTTCACAGGGAGGAGCAAGGAAGCCTGGAAAGAACCTGTCATGGCAGTGTACCTCGGGGAGGCAGCCTAGTGGGACAGGTAGAGGCTTTGGGGTTTGGAGGTCTTGCAAAGGAGGAAGTGCTCTACAATTTAATTTTTTTTAGGTTTCTTGCTTTTCTTTTTGTTAGTTGTTTCATTTCATTTCCTTTTTTTATATATAGATATCCTTTCTTAGTTGAACAAGTTGCTCTCATTACTAGATTTCTGAGCACTTTTTTCCTAAATGTTTGTTGAATCTTCCAAGTTTGTCTTCTATGTCAGAGAGAATTGCATGCATTTGCTTTTCATCTTTAGCTTCTTAATAAGACTGATCATTAAATCTCGGAAATCATAGATAAAATCTGATTACTTGGAACAGAAGCAAGTGAAAGAATTACCTGCTAGGGTCTGAAATCTGATCAATTTATGCATGCAGTGAGGATGGGGATAGGGACATGCTCTGAGGGCTGCAGAAGGAGCACTGCCTGGCACAGTCATGGGGCAGAGCTCCGGGAAACCAGCAGCTACAATTCTGTAAGGTAAGGGTAAGAATCAAGGGAAATTGCTGTTGGGATTGCCAGAAGAGTGGGACATTAAAAATGATGAATTTTTCCAGCTTTTTCTCTTCAAGACTTTTCCAGACTTTTCCAGAGTCTTCCAGAGTTTTCTCTTCAAGACTTCTCTTCAAGGAAAAGAGCACTGCAGTGGTATTGAACCTGGAAAGGGCTGTTTGCACTCAAGTCTCTGCTACCACTGCTGCCTACCTAGGGCAAAAGAGGTCACTCTGTGGGAAATGCTCCAGTGAGGGTCTCACCAGACAGCCAGGTCAGACAACAGAGTGGAATGGGTGGAAAGAACATAAGCTCACACCCTCCCCATCCCCACAGGGTTACAGAAAAAGACAGTGAGCTCTGACATGCCAGATACAGACACATCTCTCAGTCACTAGGAGATAGGAGGTCAAGAGGGGAAACACAAATAAGGACTTTGCTGGGGTCTGAAGCCTCAGATACTTAGAGCTTATGCAAATAATAAACAAAGATGCATTCTTCTGCAGATTAGAATCAGTCTTTGTACCAAGCATACTAATCTCATATTATATTATCTACTGTAACATGTCTAATGATAAATAAAAATGTACCAGCAGATAAAAAATCAAGCAAACAATCTACAGAGGCAGACTTAGTCATGCCACATATATTGAAGCTGCAAGAAAGGTATTTTAAAAGAACTAAAGTTACTAAATGAGGTGATGCACATGTAATAGTACACAACAAGCAGCAACAGATAAGCAATTTTAAGAAGAGATGGAAATTTTTAGAATTCAAGCAAATAAACAGAAATTTCTGACAATCTAAATATTATTTATGTTGAAGAATAAGGAAAACGAACAGCTCAGGTGATTAGGAGCAGGAGGGGGTGGTAAACACATGGAGCACTGGGAATGTTACAGCAAGGAATCTTCTGTGTTTTACTTTAATGGTGAATACAAGATATGTAAGATTTGCCAAAATCAGTACATCATCAAATCAGAAACCCTGCGGTACAAAAACATCAATGAAAACCAGAGAATTTTTATTATTCGAGGTAGAATATAGAACAATACCACAAAAGCCTGAGAATTTTTGTTATTCTAGGTAGAATATAGAACAATACCACAAAAACCTGAGAATTTTTGTTATTTGATGTAGAATGTAGAACAATACCACAAAAACCTCAAAATTTCTGGGGTGAGCTGGAATCTCATTGTTGTTTTCATCTGCATCTCTCAAATGACCAGTGATGTTGAACATTTTTTTATATATTTATTTGCTGCTTTTACTTCTTTGTCTGAGAAATGTCTGTTCATTTCAGATGCCCATTACTCTTAAGTGAAATAAATAAGACACACATGTGTAAATACTGAATAGTTTCTCAGTGTGAGAAACTGAGAGTGTAAATAAGGACTAAAAGGATTAATAACTAATAATTGATACTTTGAAATTGGAAAAGGTCCAAAGGGGTAGGGGTGGTGGGAGGAGATGGAGAAAGGAAAGAATGGAAAGAAAAAATTATGAGAAAAGAAAAAAATGGAAACAAAGTATGTAAATAGGAAAGGGTGGAGGGGTGAAGGGCTCACAGGTAATAGGGAAAAAATAAGAAAAAAGATACATCATGTACAGGTACAAGTACCCAATGATAAATGTAAACATATTGTATACCTAAAATGTACCAACAAAAGAATTTAAGCAAAAAATAAAAAAATAAAAAACCTCAAAATTACAAACATCTACATAAACTTCACTTGAGAAGAGGATATGGTACTGATGGAGCTAAGTTTTTAAACTAGCTGATTCTATGAATAAGCCAGAGAAGAAACCGCGCCTTATCACCCACCATGTGGCAGTCCATAAAGTGTCCCCACCCGATCATCAGGACAACAGGTGTCATCCACTGTACACATGTACTAGAATAGTAAAATGACCAAAGGCTTACTTTGGCCAGGCCTGAGTGTGCTGTTACAGCAGAGTCACAGATAAGCCTGGAAATCAGGCTAAGAGTGACTTGAGTGGGGATGAACTAGCTATGGTGACATCAATGTAAAGTACAACTTACCTTCAGTCACTTGCAGTGAGGACACTCAGAAGTGTTACAGCCCTATCTGTGCACTAATGTGTATTTTCTTGCTCTTTTGGCTAAGATGGCCTAAGATAAACAGCACATCATAAAACAGTGCAGCCTGGTGTCTGGCTCCTGGCTCCTGTTACCCCTGAACTGGAGGACAGAGATCCTGCAAACTGCCTCATTCACTGACCAGGGCACAATATCTATGAGCTGGTCTTGTAGGCTCCTATCTAACTTTTATTCACTAACACAGTCAGGGCATGATTAAACCATCAAAATCTCTAACAGCAAAGTCCACAGTGATAGAGTTGATTTCAAAACAAACAACTGAAAGGATTCCCAATGGACAGAGCCAAAAAAAGGAAAACTAAAAAAGTAGTGTGGGATGACATGCCAAAGTGCTGTCTAAATACCCATGGTCTGCATTTATATACATGAATGAATGAGTAAATGGGAAAAGGATACAGATTCCGGAGCAGAGCAATGAGTGCTTTATTTCTGTCATGTTACATAAACTATTGCCCAGGCCTCATCCAGGGGTGCACAGTGGCCTTTCCCTGTGGAGTGCCTTGTGGATTGCTGGGAGAGGTGGTGTGTGACTGTACAGTTGTAAGGTTTGGCAGGTGATCCTCACAAACATCCAGAGATGAAAATTACTGCTCTTCTACAACTTAGCAAGGGTGGAAGAAACTGGCACCTTGTCTTGTGATCATCTTTCCAAGAACACCACTAACATTCATGAGAATGAGACAAGTTCATGCCAAAGGGAACTACAAAAAAAGTCTGACCAAAATTCTCCAGATCTCAAGGTCATCAAAATTGAGGAAATCTGACAAATATAAATGTACTGGACTTTAGATAGGATTGTGAACATAAGTTGACATTAGGTTACTTAAAAAAGTATGTTTTTTTAATTAATAACATTAAATCAGTAATGGTATACAGATAGTGACAGATATACTATAGCAATGTAAGATGTTACCATTAAAGAAAAAAGGATGTGTGGTATACATGAACTTTCTAAAATTTTGTAAATGTTTTATAAATACAAAACTACTGTGAAATAAAAGCTTTAGTGCTTCATGTACTCAACTCTACATTAATGTAAGCAGGGGCTGCTGATATATTTTCTATCTGTATAATTTCCCTTTTTCCAAAAGACATCAATCAAGCATAAGTGATTGCTCAGTGGGGCTTCTCCACTTAGAAACACCAGTATGAAAATGTCACAGCTTGTATAATGTAACCACTTGAGTTCCATTTTCACTTGGACTACTGAAAGTGCTTCTTACAATACAATGAGTTATAGAAAAGAAAAAGAAACACAGAGAAAGCAAGATCTGGACAAAACTGGTTGTCACCCATGAGGCAGCAGTCACAGTTGAGATCCAATCAAGAAATCAACTTCTCAAAGCACAAAATATATTCATTTACAAACAAGAAACAAATTGGAGGATCTCTACAATTTAGCATCCCTGATGTTCAGGAACAATCAGACTTAACCCCCACATGGAGAACCCAAAAATGGAGTATGTGAAAATGAATCAGACATTACAATAAACACACAGGAATATTTAATTAAAATCTGGATTAAGAAAAGAAAATACATTTTCAAAACATACAGAATCTCATCAATAAACAAAATTTCTCAACAAATAGACACAACAAGCAAATAGAGAGGTCTGAGATTTAGCTCAGTGGTTCTGGAGCCTGCCTCACAAACACAAGGTCCTGAGTTTGATCCCCAGTGCCAAAAAAAAACCAAAACAAGCAAATAGAAATTATCATACCAAAAGTTTCAACTTCTCAAATGAAAATTTTACTGAAACCATAAGTAAATTGAAGGTAAAGCAATAGAAATTATCTAAGATGTTGAGCTAGACAAGAAAGAATAGAGGTGATACCAGAAAAACATTTGTAGGTATGATAGCCAAAAATTTCCCAAATTTAAAGGCATTCAAATTTTGTAAGAATAAGATGCTAAAAAAAACCAAAGAAGAAAACATACAGGCAGATATACAAAAATAAGTATCAGTAACACTATTAAAAGTTAAGTATAAACAGCAGTCTTGAAAGCAGCAAGATACAACACATATAAAGTGGAAAAAAAGACAAGTGTTTGTTAAAAATACTGATGGCCATCAGGAGGGGGTAGGAATGTATTAGACACTGAAAATGAAACTTACAAAACAAAACAAAAGCAACTGTCTACTGAAATTTTTATGTTCAGTAAAAACATGATTGAAGAAGGAAACAAAGATAAAAATTTTAGTACATAACAGAAGACTATATAAACTTGTTAGTGGCAGACCTGAGGTACAAAAAAGACCAAAGGAATTGAGGCAATGCAATTATACAAAATATTAAACTTCCACATTTCTCTCATACTAAAAACTCAAGAAAAAAATATTAGGAGTAGTAAAAAATGTGCTGTTGTGGTTAATTTTATACACCAACCTGACCAGGAGATGTTCTGGGTACCTGGTGAGACACTGTGTCTGTGTGTGTGTCTTTGAAGGTGCTTCCAAGAGCAGCTCATGGGCAGGAGGCCAAGTGAAGAAAGTGTCTCTCCCCAGTGTGTGCAGCATCAGCCAGTGCACCAGGGCTGACACAGAACCAAAGACGGAGGAAGAGCAAATGTACTCTCTCCTTCAGTGGGGATACACATTTCTCTAGCCCTGTCAGCCAAGGGCCAGGGTCTGAGATTGTAAGACAGATTTAAATGTCACCCTAATAATTTTTGGTTTGTCTAATATATCCATAAAAGCCAAAGAGTATTCATATGTGTGTGTTTGGACTATCCTGTTTCATTTATAAACCAAAAATGTATTTAAAAACTAAGGTTATAATATTCATGATGAGTCTATTACAATGAGTATACAAGCAGCACATATGACAAATGAAACATAATAAGAACATAAATTTGAATTATCTTATTTTATAGACTATAAGATTACATTTTACAAGTAGTATATTACTAACTGAAACTAGAGTAAGAAAATGTAAGTATTTATATTTTAATTGGTAGCATCTTGGATCATGAACTTAATTCTTTACACTATTCACATTGCAAACTGAACTGGATTAGAACTGAATCAAATTCAGTGATTAGGTTCAATATTGGCCTTATGGGGAAATTGATTCAGTTCTTGTGCAATTCAGTCTTTGACCAGAATTGCAGAGAGAATTGAGTTCAGGAAGAAGGCACGACTGTACTAGGA